CACTCTAGCCACTATTTTAAAGTTTCGAATTTCACAAGTGAAATTTCATGATATTATCTTGACGTTTCACTTTTACAACTCGAATATTTAGGACAATGACTATTTCTGAATACACAATTGAAAAGATACATGTGATATTTCTTCTCATCCTTTATGTCACCCAACCAAAACCTTAGATGATTATTAACCTAACACAAGGGTCCATATAACAGAAAAGGTATAGTGGCCTAACAAATAGAAGAAGGGCCAAATATTATATAAACATATAATGCGTCTAATCTTAGAGATGATTACCAACCCATTGGCATAGTAAAATATAAATCAAATACTAAAGTGATAGTGCAAAAAATAAAATAAGAGTATAAAATCTCACATCAATGATACACTTTCTATCAACAACAAAACCTCAAAAAAAAAAAGGATAAGAGGAAAATTTTCAAACTTATCTATTTTTTAAGTGGAAACTATGACCCTTCAACTTGTTTCTTTACAAGATAAAAAAAGCCCACCTGATCCCAACATATCTACCTTGCCTTATATCATAATATATCCTAATTCATTCCCACTTGCTAATTGAACTAGCTATATCCTTGTACCCACCCAAAAAAATTTAGAAAAAATCAAACTTATCATCTTTAGCTTAGTACTAGACTAGACTAGAAAAAATATTTTATTCTATGTTTGTTTGTTTAGTATTTGTTTTTATAATATTAATCAGATATGTCCGCTCATAATATAATTACTTCATTCGAATTCAAATCATATGTGGTAGTAATACTCTTTAACTAGTTGTTTTTCGACCTTATTTTTGAAACTTTATTGTTGTTATGAAGTTTTAATTTTTACAAGTGAAATTTAATATTTATATAATTGAGATCTCATAACAACACATATTTATCGATTTACGTAGCTAAAAAGGGTCTATTTGTGAATTTTACCTATTCCCTTTAACAAGATTTTTTTTTTACTTTCAGAATTTAAATTCAAAACCTCTAATTAAGAACAGAGGTCAAGTGTTATCTTATATGCATATATATTTTAATCCTTTTCGTGTTATGTTATATGAGTATATGTTTTAATCCTTTTCATAATTGTCTTGCTCCATTACTTCTAATGGTACTTTAGACCCCTTACTACTTGAGCCCCACTTGAGCCATCATGTACCCAAAATATATCAAGCTTATCATCTTTGGCTTGGTAAAAAAAAACAAGCTTATCATCTTTGGCTTGGTAACAAAAAAAAAATAATTTTATACTGTTTTCGTCATTTTTAATTGTTATATTTCTTTTTTTAAAATCATACTATAAGATTTTGACTTACATATTATAATATATTTTTTATTATATTGATATTCAAAAAATATAATTTATAGTACTTCTCGTATAGTTTTTGAATATCTAAATTTTTTGTTTGAAATATCGAATTAATGTAATCTAATTTAACTTTAAAAATTAGTCAAATTAACTGTTAAAAAACGCAACATGACAATTAAAAGTGGACGAAAGGAATAACAGCTAAAGATATATTCATATTTTGTTTTAAAAAATAACCTTTAGAGATAGTTTGATTATTTTAACAAAAATCCAATCACATTAGTAGTTAATTGTATATAGTTGTTTGGAAGGGCAGTATATATGTTAGTAGTCAACAAGTCAAATAAAATTGAAAATAACTTTTGTTTTAGTCCGTAGGTTATGTGAAATAATTGATTCGTACCCTTAATTAATTATAAATTAATCATCACTTTAAGGAAACTCTTATGGTAATTAGCTAGCACTTAGACCAATCTTTTATCAACTCAAATTATTAATCTCTAAAATGTATTGGACTCATAAACTCCACACACCTGCCTAGTTTAGAAAAGATAAAAAATAGTTTCTTTTTTCTAACTCTTTGCCGTAAAGAAAAAGCAGTGTATATTTTATTAATATTAAATATCTCTTCAAAAGTTTTTTGAAATCCACACAAGTGGGTGCTTTTCTATTTTATTTTCAGGTGACTAGCTAAGGAATCTGTTTAATTAATTTGATTTGAAAAATTAAATATAACGAATGTTATATAGTGGTCCTAGGACATACATTTTGAATAACGTAGTATATATAATAAGGTCATTTTGAATCAGAAACTACATTAAAGATACACATCCTCTATATTATTGTATTATCGAATTCACGTAAATTAAATAATTTCTATTCAAAGTGTATTGTATTAAAGATTTGACTAAATTAATTTAATTATTAGAAATAACATTAAATAAAAGTATTTTAGTTTGATTAGAATAGTTTTTAAAAATCGTAGACGATTGTTTTATATGATAAAAGGTAAAATGACATTTTTGATTTGTTCATGGTGTTCCAAATTTATGTCACTTTTCATTAGCTATGATTTTATATTCATCACTGGCCAAAGTATTGAGATCCTATTTAAAGAAAAAATAATTTTTATTTAGAATTTCTTCATTTTCATAGTTTGAAATCTCAAATCTCTTTCTTTAAAGTAAATAAAACTTTATTTGTTTTAGCACGGCCCTTGGTGCTTACAACATACACAAATTTTGTATAAATAGAATCGTGATAATAAACTAACACCAACTACAATAAAGTTGTAATACATACGTGAGTATCAAACAAATTTAGAGGAAACAAAAAGGAAGGAGCTATATAGGTAAATACTAAAAAAATAATTTTTTAAAAAAATAAAATAAAAAGAGTGAGGGGGAATAATTGTGGCAAACAACTAAGCAAAAGGCACAAAAAAGAAAAGAAATAATTTCAACGACAAGGAAAAAAAATAATATGGAAATGCGCTATAAAGAAATACAATACCCTGGGCCGAGCTAGAAGCTTAGATAGATACATATTCGATCAAATTTAATAAATATTATTTAATAGTATATTTACATTAAGGTATTTGTTAGTGTCTATAAATATATAATTTGGTTATAATTTCACATCTGCCTATGTTACAATATGATTTTCTCGTTCTGAATCAATAATGACATATTTAAACAAATAAATATATCAAATATCGAATAAAAAAAACTAACGTCGCCATAAAGTTGAAGGGCATGTGTTACGGAGGAAAGTTTTTGTTCTGTTCCTTGAACTTCAAGCAACGCGTCCTTTTGCTGCCAAAATTTCTGTTTGGGTGTCTCCTTTTTTATTTTTAAATTTTACTAAAAAAACAAATATAATTTGGAAATTGATACTCTACCTATGTGGCTCTAAACTCTTACGTGTCGTTTGATCTTTCAAAAATAATAATTCATATATATAAAAAATTTTATACTAAAATACTAATAGAGTAGAGTCGTGCATAATCAAATGAAGGATAAATTAACTGATAGAGAATACGTATAGAGTCGTGTGTAATCATGTAAAATCGGTTAATTACAATAATAACGAAGTGGGATGGTAACTTTCGTCAGTTCCAGCTACCTAATAGATTCGACTTAGCTATTGTTTGAGTTGTCTCTCGAATATTTAGACTCTTCTCGATCGTTCGAGAGTTTGTTGTTCAGTATAAATATGATAGGTTCGAGATATTATTAGACTTTGAATTCATCATTATTGACTGATTCAGTGATTGCTTCACATGTTTGGTTAAATATTATTGGCATTTGATAGATTTTTATATCATAGTTAAAATTGATGGAAGCGCACACATACGAATCACCTAATCATAATTCATAATTAGTTGATGATAAATGCAAAACAATCTTGTATTTATTAATTTGCTTCATATAAACCTTAAGTAGGAATAAATTTTACCATCTAATAATGTGAATGCAACGTAAATTTCCATCTGAGGTGTTGCTTAGTTGTTTCCATTATTTTTTCCTTTATAAGAATAGAATACGTAATTAATTTGAAGAGTTAATTTGATTGTACTTACAAATTTCAACTTAATTAAGCTACCGTATAACTAAATTATTCATATAAAGGTGGTAAAATCAACTTTGTTATGTTATAAAAAACGTGATATAGACGTCAACTCATACTTTCTAAGTCAAATATCTATTATTACAAAGTTGTCATACGTAAAATATTTGTGTTAAATACTCATTCTTTTTATAATTTATTTTTTCCATAATAATATTATTCTCATTGATTTGATTTGTATCTATACATTTTGACTCTGGGCATAATTAAAACATTCTTCAGGTAAAATCAATTTTATTAGTTGATGACAAGGTATGAGGTCAATGTTATTATGATAGACAAATATACGCGGTTATAATAAATTTTATAGGTAAAATGTTATTAATTACTCATTCCTCCTAAATTTTTTCATAATAATTTTTCTATTATTACTAATGTCTATCATTAAATTTATAGATGTTTAGTTTATGAACGAATTTATGTTTAAAAATAACATTTGAATTTTAATTGGGGGAACATAATTTAATTTTGAAGTTATGCTTGAATAAAAAACATAGGGAAACATTACGTAATTTATTATACTTTACTAGTACTATTATTACCTATGTTTACAAAATATTACATAGTTTATTATTAAATTAAGAGTTTTTTATTATATATTAAAAATATATATATTTATTTTTATTATTATTTATACAAATAAAACAAGATAGAGAAGGATACAAGAAAGACAAGCAAGATTTGTCGTATATCCTAATATACATATAACTTTGACATTATGTATTTCAAATACATGTATCTAAACATATTAAGACACATTAAAATTTAATAAAATATATTATAAATTAAAATATATTTAACTAATTAACTCGTAAACGTTTATGTGATCTATATCACCAAATGGAACCTTACAAATTCCAAATTATTATTATAATAATAATTATTTTTTATCTTTGTTTTTCCCAATGTTTACCTCTCTTCTTCTTACACGTCACTACTTCTTCAGCCCCATTTCCATTTCCAGGTCAGCCCCAGGTGTTAACTCTCATTTATTAAATTTAACATTTTAAACATCCAAACACTGCCTTATTTCTATGTATATAAATACCTCTTCTTCCTCCGTGAATCTTCCCTCTGCAGCATGGTGTGCCAATTACTCAATTTTTTAATTCTTTCTCTTCTTCTCCGGCGCCACCACCTCCGCCACCCGCCGTGAAACATAAATTTATTTTTGGTCATTTTTCAAAATTAAACAATGCTTGTCTCTGTTTTTCTCGCTCTGTTTCTTCCCTGTGTTGGAATGAGCGCTGTTTTCTTAGTCTACATCTGTTTACTCTGGTACGCCGCTGCTTACCAATCTGCCGGCCCCGGCGCTGAAAATTACCATAGTCAGAAAACGAATCAGGAATTGGGTCTTTCTGCTGCTCAATTGGACAAACTACCGAAAATTACAGGGAATGAATTGTTAATGGGTAACGATTGTGCGGTGTGTTTGGATGAAATTGAGAATGAGCAAATTGCTCGAGTTGTTCCGGGTTGTAACCATGGATTTCACCTTGAATGTGCTGATACTTGGCTTTCAAAAAATCCGATTTGTCCAGTTTGTAGAACTAAACTGGAGCCGGAGTTCTTCAATCCACCTGAAAGTAACCCATGTTGAAGATATTCCTAATTACAATTATTTCAAACTTTATTTTTATTAATGTTCGATAGATTATAGGAGTAGTTTGATATGATTGGTGTTGAATTTTTTTTTTCTTCGTTTAATTCTGAATCTGGGGTGGTGGATGTTGTTATGAGAAATAGCTTAATTTTGAATCAAGTACAGTTCCTAGAATTTCGATTTCTTTTTTCATTTCAGAATTGTCACCATTGTTGAAGTTTCTGGAGATTGCTGCATTTGGTCGAACCAGAAATTTTATCAACTGATTCAAATACTTCAAAAATGTCTAAAATTTGTCCATTAAAATTTAAAAATAGTTTATTTGATGAAGTTTTTGGAGAGTGCTTGTTCATGTGAAATAAAGTGTTTCTAGGAAATAACATAAATTGTTTTTTAGCAAACTATAAAAAAGTTTTGTGAAAAATACTCACTAAAGAAGCTTTTTTTTCCCCCTAAAGTTTGATCATGTTTTTCTTTAAAATATGTAAAAAATTTAAATTTAATAAAACATACTAATAAGTTATGTAGTTAAAAAACAAGTGACATTTTTAGAGTGAAAATTTCTAAAGTGATAATTATTTTAAATTATGAATTTAATAACTATGTAACAATTCATTCAAATTTGAGTAATTTTTTTTTCTCTCTTCAAAATTCATAGATTTAATTTTGAATTTGCCTTTGCTAGTCTGTTAAATTATTTCTGGAGTTTTCATGAAGCTTCTTTATTTTTTTTTTTAATGGGTGTGTAATCAAATGATGATAAAGATAGGTTTAAGATGTGGGGTGGGAGGAATAAAAACAGAAGAAAATTTGGAGTCTAAAATTGAGGGGAGGTGGCAAGTGCTTTGGTATGAACATAACATTACATATAATATCATAATTGAAATTTGAATTGATTGCAATCAAGTGATTAATATTGGCCATTGGATTTCATCACATATATTTATATTTTTTTAAAAAAAATAAAAACCACAAAAAAAATAAAATAAAAAATTAACAAATAGTGTGTAATACTACTCCACTATGAATGGGGAAGAGAAGTTTGAGGAAAATAAAATAAAATAGGGGAAGAAAAGCATCACTAGTACAAAAGTTGTACTAGTATTATTATTCAATTTGATGGGTTCCTTTGTTTATGGGTACAAAGGTTAACTAAGCGGCGAGCGAGAGCGGATCAATTGAATAAAATTAAATATGAAAATTCGTTTTTCTCTTTTTAAATAGTATTTAAATTACATAAAAAATTATATTAAAAAGATATTAAATTTGCAGAGTAACTTATATTCATTACTAAAATAACAATTCGTTAACCCTACATGTAAATCAAATGATCACTTAAAAAGGCTTTTAGTTGTAAGTCTCAAATCATTTGGCTACATGTGAACCTAATGGTCACTAAGCCGTGTTTGGTTTTAAAAAAAAACTTTTACAAAAAATTTAATCTTAACCAAACTTAATAGTATGAATTACTTTGAACATAGAACATAAGGAAATCTTATGGTACATACCAATTGCATCATCGTTATAACAGTGGTCTTTTTTTTTTTTAATTTTGTAATTTGTTTTAACCAACCAAACAAGACCTTTGCCCGTGCATAGTGAAAGTGAAAGTGAAACTAAAAATTGATTCCCTAACAACTTTTGATTAGGTAGCTTTTTATGGAGGAAAGGAAGGTAGGGTAGATGCCAGCTCTAACTTTCTTGTGTTTCTGTGAAACAATCAATTGGTTTTAAACACTTTTTTTTCCCAAAGCTGACTTTCTTTTAAACTACACATCAATTGCCTGGTGCCCACTTATACTTAGCATTTAATCATATAAATCTGTACGTTTAAATAAGTTGATCTTTAATTTTTTTCTCTAACCCTATAAGTTCTTAGGAAATTGAAGCGATACTAGAGCATAACTCAACAGCACATTGTGATATGAAAAAAAATAAAATTATATTTGTTAAGAGAGAAGAAAGATGTTAAAGAATAACAAAAGTCTCATATTGATTGTTAATGAGATGGTTGGACACTTTATAAGGCTTGGACAATTCTTCTGCCTTTGAGCTAACTTTTGAGATGTGAGTTAGACCTAAAACTTAATTTCACATGGTATCAATCAAAATTGTCCACACACTAGATGAGCTTTTCAAATGAGTTTGAAGGTGTTTAACTTTTAGCGTCAAACAATTGAACTTATATTTAGTGACCAAAAAAATATTTACCTTGAAGAATAAAAACTAAAACCAATACAAAATAAAGACTAAATTGCAAATGAACCTTATAGCTATGCTCTTTCTTTTTCTCTCATCCTATATCCGATTCTCGTACTAAGACTCAAATATATATTTATATCACCATTTTTATTATTATGTTGCGTTTTTTAAAAGTTAATTTGATTAACTTGTAAAGTTAAATTAGATTATTTTTTTGATATTTTAAACAAAAAATTTAGACATTCAAAAATCATATGAAAAATATTATAAATTGTAATTTTTTATAAATCAATATGATAAAAATTACGTTAAAAATGTTAATCAAAATTAATATAATTTGACTCTATAAAAAAACATTATAAAAAATTAAAAGTAAACGAAAATAATATAAATTAACATAAAAAAAATATAATTTCATATTCAAAATTCGAAATAAGTGGACATTTACTCATCCATCAACTCTTGTTGTTGGTTATACATTATTCATTTTTGGTACATTAAATTGGATGGAATAGTGAAGGGCATAGATATTTGTTGCGTGTGACTTTTGAAAATTTCAAGTCCCAAATATCCATCGGTTCGCTAGTTTTCTTCCATTTGTATTTCTTCACATTTATTGCTCCTACCAAAAAATCATCTGTCAAACCCATTCCCATTTTCTTTTCCCTTTCTATTTTTGTTATTTTCCTTCTATTAAAATGCTCCGTCCATTCACTTTCACTCGCAAAATGTTCATATTTTATTTATTAGAATATTTTTTTATTTTTAATTAAAAGCGTTAAATTTGACATTCACCTTTTGTTAGGGTGCAATTTATACTCTCAAATTTAATCATACTATAATATTATTTACTTATTTTTAGTTGATTTAAAAAATAATGTTAATTTTCTTTTTAATTTATATTCACACAAATATTTATATCAAGTTAAATAACGTGACATAAGTTAAAATGGGAGAATATTATTTAACACAAGGTCAGAAAAAGTAACACTTTATAATTAAAAAAAGAGGAGTAACTTTTATATATGCTTAGAGCATATTCTTCACGACTGAAAAGTTAAGCAATGAGCAACAACTTTAATTAACTTCTAATTCAATGCCAAAAGTAATTAATGTTGAACACAAAATGTATTACAGTCCCCAATAGCAGTCATTAATTACTAGTTTTACTGTTAATATACATGACACTTGTAAAATATATACCCTTCTTTCCTTTTAAAATAATTATCATATTTTTTAAATATCGTATAGTAACAAAACATTAATGGAGATGATGTAGAACTCAACTTAGTGTCCTTGTTTATGAACTAATTTTGTATATTAGCTTTACCCATATTTTTTTAAGGCAAATACAAAAAGAATAATCAATAGAATCTAATGTGGATTTGCGTTTATGTAGTTGTCTCTGAACAAGTATTATTAAACAGAGAAAATAAATAAATATTGTGATACGTGTTGGAATTCCTTCAAAAGCTTATTTCAGGTATTATATGCATTAGATATATTGCACCTATCTGCAATAATAACATCATAAGCTAACTTTTAGCGTTATTTAGTGACCGATTTAAAATATAATATTTATCTTTTTTTTTATAACAATTTTAAGTTACATACAAATAAAAATATTTTTTTGATATATATATTAGCAAATTAGCAAAAATTATTGAATTTTTATGAATTTGGACAAGCTGAATACGCCCCTAGTGTCATCTCTTCTATGGGTCCGTTACGTTGTTAGTATTTACTTTCTTTTTTTTAATTCTATAAAAAATAATAGCACCTTATTTAGATACTTTCCTATATGATGTTCTAAAAATAAGAAAATTCCATATTGCTGATGGAGTGCAAACATGGAAGTCACTTCGAAAAATATGTCTTTTTATAAGTTTATTTATTGATAAAGTAGAGACGTTAGTATCTATACTTGATTTAAAAAGTAGAGGCGTTAGTATTTATACTTGATTTAAAAGTAGAGACGTTAGTATCTATATTTGTCCTCATTGATGTAAAGACGTTAGTATTTATATTTGGTTCAAAAAGTAGAAACGTTAGTATCTAAAGTTACGCAAAGAGAAAAAAACAAGACCGTTTAAATATTTATACAAAGCTATTCTGTATATTGACGCAAGAAAGTTCGAGAGAGAAAAACACAAATTATTTCAATTTAGTTTAGGCTTATATTTGCATAAGATTTTATTTTCGTGTTAAGAAACAACTTAATTATAAATAATTCTGAAATAGTGGTTGATTTTCAAACTGCAACCTTTAAATTGGTTAATTGTCGACAATTGATTCTTGTATTAACTAGTGACTTAATTTTAAATTATCTAGAATATGATTGTTTGTTGCTATACTCTCAAAGTGGCTATTTTTCAAATCGTTCCGACTGGTCCAATCCCGAAAAAATTGGGCTTAAGTTGTCGAATGAAATCCAATTAATGGACTTACAATAATGTAAAAATTAGGCAAATTACATAGCATAAGAAAGAAATTATTTTTTATTCTTATTTTTTTATTAATTATCAAAATATTTTTTTTAGTGTTTTTCGAATACATAATATTGCAGGCAGATATTTTAATTAATAACGATCTGATACTTAAATTATTAAATTGTTATTATCAGTTTAAGCGTTAAATAAGGAATTAAAACAGAAATTCATTGATTCCCACAAATCACGCATACGTTTTTTCCTTCAACCAATCAGTCATAAACCTCTAATTGAATTATAATTTTTAAATTTTAAACTGTGAAACCTTCTTCCTGTTCTTCGAAAAAACAACAAAGTTTGATTCAAACAATTTTGAAACGCAATTTTGTGAAGATTCGAAATAAATATTTCGATCTTGTTAAGGCATTCTAAATCATGGAAAAGTGATGTTAGATACCAACGATACAGAAGTGATGTGATAGTGATTGGAGAAAATATTTAATTCGTAAATCTTATTTCAACAATTGCAGTTGAATTGGGTATTGATGAATAAAAAAAAATATCGAGATCAGGTAATTCATCTCCCTTGTGTATTCGGTGTGATATGAGGGTGAAATTGTATATAGAAATGAAGAAACATGAGGTAGGATTTGGATGTATC